CTGACAATCAAGTGCAGGATAATAATAAAAAATTTGAAACTTTATTAGTAGCCTGTAATGCTATTGATGTGGTTGATAAAAATAAATGGTACTTGGAAATGGGTTGTAGTAACCATATATCTGGCAAGAAAGAATTATTTGTTGAATTTGATGAATCTGTCCGTGGTGAAATTAAATTTGGGAATAACACTATTTTAGTAGTGATTGGTAAGGAAAAAATTCCTATTAGTCTAAAAAATGGGTCGACTGATCATCTTTCTGATGTTTTCTATGTTGTTGGGTTATATCAAAATTTGTTGAGTATGAGCCAGTTGTCTAAGAAAAAAATGTGATATTGGTATCAAGAATGGTACTTGTACTATTTCTAATAAAAATATTGGAATGATTACCATTGTACCAATGACTTCAAATCGCTTATTTTCATTGAAATTGAGTAGTGCCAATTTTTTCTGTTTGAATATAGTGATAGATGACAGTAATTGGATGTGGCATATGCGATTTGGTTATTTGAATTTTGACTATTTAAAATTTTTAGCCAATAGAAGAATGGTTGGTGGATTGCCTAGTATTAGAAATCCTGGTAGAGTCTGTGATATTTGCGTTTTAGGAAAATAACATAGGGATGTTTTTCAGACTGGCAAATCATGGAGGGCTGGAAGACCATTAGAAATTATTCATTCAAATTTATGCATTGTGGAGATTCCTTCTAATGATGGTTGCAGGTATTTTATTACTTTTATTGATGATTTTAGTAGAAAAGTTTGGATGTATTTTTTGAAACAAAAATCTGATGCCTGTGACACTTTCAAAATTTTTAAAATTTTTTTGTTGTGAGGCAAAGTGGGTGTCAGATTAAAATTTTGAGAATAGATAGGGGTCAGGAATATTTGGTGTGTGATGATTGAGAAAAAAACTCTCCAACAAAATAGAATGACACAAAAGAAGAATAGGACAATTATGAATATGGTGAGGTGTATATTGCAGGTGAAAAATATGCCAAAATCATTTTGGACAGAGGCAGTTTCTTGTGCAATTTATCTATTAAAGAGGTGTCCTACCAGAAGTTTTCCCAGAAAAACTCCTGAAGAAATTTGAAATAGTAGAAGACCATTTGTTGGTCATCATAGAGTTTTTGGGTATATTGCCTATTCTCATATTTCTGATCAATTAAGAAAGAAACTTGATGATAAGGGGGAAAAGCGCAACGGATCTTCTGTTCTACACACTATGTCATTGTCTGTCCCACTTTTTATTATATTGCTATTTCTCCTACATAAATATCATGTTTTAGTTCTTTTTTATTTTTTTAAAATCCAATAACTATTAACTGAGTAATACAAAAAATTTAACAAACTCAAAAAATCAAAATTCATAAAAAAATGAGATTTTTTATGAATTTTCTGTTGTATTTTTTAATTTTCTACTATATATATTGTTTTTTTGAATCTGTTGTATTTATTTTTTATTCAATTAATTGTTATTGGATTTTAAAGAAATAAAAAAGAACTAAAACATGATAGTTATATAGGAGAAATAGCAATATAATAAAAAATGAGACAGAGAGTGGCATAGGGTGTGGGACAGAAGATCCGTTGGCGAGGAAAAGTGTGTATTTATTGATTATAGTAAAGTCTCTCGGGCTTACAGGTTGTATAATCCTATGGAAAAAAAAAGTGATTGTGAGTAGAGATGTGACTTTTGTCGAAAGACGTGTGTGGGATTGGTCTACTAGAAATCTTGATACAGCAAAGGTGACTCTAAATTATCAGCAAGACAAGGATAACTATGATATTTAGCTATCATTAGTTGCTCATGGTCCACAAACTGAGTTAATTAGACGTCCCCAGCATCAGCGACAGATGCCAACTCGTCTGCAGGATTATGTTATTATATCAGATGATGTTCCTTCTGACGAAGGTATTATTAATTTTGCTTTGTTTGCAAATTGTGACCCAGTTGTATATGAAGAAGCAGCCAGTGATGATCGTTGGGTGAAAGCAATGGAGGAAAAAATTCATGCAATAGAGAAGAATGACACATGAGAACTTATTTCTCTTCCAATTTGTGAAATAGCCATTGGAGTGAAGTGGGTATATAAGATAAAATTTAAACCCAGTAGAGAAGTTGATAGATACAAGGCGAGACTAGTGGTGAAAAATACAAGTAGAAACTCGAGATTGACTGTTTTGAAGTGTTTGCACCCGTTGTCAGACTCGACACAGTACATATAATAATTTCTCTAACTGTTCAAAATAATTGAAAATTTTATCAAATAGATGTCAAGTCAACTTTTCTGAATGGCGTTCTTAATGAAAAAGTGTATGTGGAGCAGTTAGCAGGATTTATCAGAAGAGGTCAAGAAAATAAGGTGTATAGATTGAAGAGAGCCTTATATGGATTGAAACAAGTTCCAAGAGTGTGATATACAAGAATTGATTCTTATTTTCTGACTCATAGTTTTCAGAGGTATCCATATGAGTATACTTTGTATATTAAATCTTCTACTCGTGGTGATATTCTTATTGTGTGCTTGTATGTAGATGATCTAATTTTTACAGGAAATAATCTAGAGATGGTTGCAGAGTTTAGGGAGGTTATGATTAAGCAGTTTGAGATAACAGATATGGAACTCATGTCATATTTTTTTGGAAATTGAAATCTTTCAGTTTGACAGTGGAATTTTTATATTCCAAAAGAAATATGAAGGTAACATTTTAAAAAAATTCAAGATGGATACAGTAAAACCAATTATGACACTAGTTGAAGAAAAATTAAGATTGACCAAGGAAGGCGCTAGTGGATATGTGAATTCCACCTATTTTAAAAGTTTAGTAGGGAATTTGAAATATTTGATGTCTACAAGGCCAAATATCAATTTTGCTGTTGGTTTGATTAGCAGGTTCATGAAAAATCCATGTCAGTTACACTTGTAGACAGCAAAGAGGATTTTGAGGTATATTGGAGGTACTCGCAATGATGGCATTTTTTATTCAGGAAATAATTCAGTTGAATTGTTTGGCTATACAGATAGTGATTGGACAGGTGATACAATAGAAAGAAAGAGCACTTCAGGTTGTGCATTTTTTATTGGTTCTGGCGTGTTTCCCTAGAGTTCAAAGAAACAACAGATGATTGCTTTATCTACAACAGAGGCGGAGTATATTGCAACAGCTAACAGTGCTACTCAAGTTTTGTGATTACGTCACATACTTGGTGTTCTACAACACAAGTAGGTTGATCCTACAAAAAATTTATTGTGATAGTAAGTTAGCAATTGAATTGTCCAAGAATCCAGTACTCCATGGGCGTAACAAGCATATTGACATCAAATATCACTTCATACGTGAGTTGGTTCGAGAAAGGGAGATTGAAGTTGATTATTGCAGAACAAAAGAGCAAGTGACTGATATTTTTAGCAAGTCATTGAAGACTGAAACTTTTGTCAAGTTGAAGAAGATGTTGAGCATATCCAAATTAGAAGAACTTGGTTTAAGAGAGGCTATGTAGAAAATTAGACCAAGTTTATTGGTTAGACTTATTTGCTGGCCATGTGGCATTAGCTTATTAGTTAATAATGTTAGTAGCATTGTTAGTTTATAGACGAAGTCACATGGGATTACTTTTATAACACTAGTAATTATGCAGGCGCGCAAGGCACAAGAAGTGTTTTTAGATATAGCCTCTGTGACAATTGTAAAAGGTTGAGTTAGAAGGTTCTGTCCTGGAGTAAAAGAGAAGCCACGCAGCCGCGTCGTGAATTGTTGAAAAATATTTTTTCTGTGGGTTTATGATTTGTCATCAATTTGGGTCCTTCAAGAGATGTTAATTCAGGACTTAACAACTTTGTGTGTTGGAGTTGACTCTGGATCAATCATTGGCTGGGTACCTTATCGACTACTGTTGAACATTATCAACTGAGCCCTACTGCACTTTAAAATTGTACAAGTTCTAGAAATTGACTCCTAATATATTTGTCATAAGAAGAGATAGAATTTAAGAAACGAGAAGAGGGTAAGGAAATTTGTTTCATAGGGTTCATATGCACAATTAAACAAGTGTCCATGCACATACAAATAAACCTACAAACGAGATCCCGTGATAATCAAATGGCAATAGTTTTAAGATGATACATGTAAGCAATACAATCACAATTACATTAGATAAACCATGTGCACAACTTTCGGATTAGGCTGTTTCTCATGTGGTCAACATCTGGTGAGACATTCAAGTCAGAGAAATACACAATTTGTACCACTTAGAACAAAATTCCTAATACTAATTCTTAGATTGGCAGTAGTTTTCCGAGGTTGGATCTTTTTGTTATAGATGCACCACATCTCCAACAGTGACTCGGCTTCCTCGTTCTCTCCACTTCTATAGTCACCTCTCTCCACTTGCCAAATGAATTTTACTGTGAAAATCTGCCTTGACTTTCTCAAGTGCCTTAACAATTATCTTCTTTATTTTTTCCCACAGAAAAACTTTCTGATCAGTTTCTACTTTCTGATCATAGCACTCCTAGACATGAGCATTGTTTAGGAAGTCATTAATTTACTAAATTTAAATTCCGAATTTCATGATAATTTTTTTTAAGAAAATTTTTTACCTCCTTTTGTTTCAACGTTAAATGCCTTTTGGATTTAATATCAAATTCGATTAATCTATGGTATCGGAATGTGTTGGGCCAAATATTACACCCAGACTTAGGCCCTTTATCCTTTATTGAAAGTTATATTCCCTGGTGCTCCAATAAACTTGGACAGTGCTACAGTCAGGCCACTGGAATTGACCAATCGTGCATTCTAATTTCAAGGCCATTAGGACCAATACACATTATCCAATCCAAAATATCCACCAAACATTCCAACAAATTCCTCAATATTTCATGATGAACGAGGTCAAAAAGTAAAAGGGTGGTCACCAATGAGTATAATCAAACGCAAAACCGAGGGTGAAAAAAAAAAGGGTTCTTGATAATAATAATAATAAGCAATTGCATTTCAATTTCATCAAACAAGCATCGATAACACATCTAGTAGCTCCCAGCTGCATCAGTTCCTTATGGATGCAGCATAAAACAACTCATTCTATTACATAACAAATAGGCAGAGCTTAATAACCACAGGCAATGACAAAATGTTACTTAGCAATCACAGTCAGATTGCAACATCTTGCTTGTGGGGAACGAGAACCTTTAAAGTTCCAGCTGAGTCTTCAAGTTATAAACCTCAACCTCCGTTCCTTTGAGCACCAATTCCCCGAAATATCTAAGGCAATGAAAAAGTTCTCTGGATCAAGATTCAAGCATGATTTACCAAATCAAAATCCTAGATTTAGGAACTACAAGTGGCCTGTTGCAAAATTATCAATTAACAGCACTAACAAGTTTAAATTTTTAGTTAGTACTAGAATCAAGACAACAACGCCCAATGAGTTTCAAGAGGACAGCAAATTCCCCTTTCAAGATATTACAGAACTTTGCAATTTATGATACAGCAGCAAAAGTAGTTTTCAACCAGCTATATGTCATCAAGCAAATAGAAATGCAAGCGAGTGTATAAGTAGCTGGAAATTCATTAAATATGGAAGAATAAGTGGTCCAAATCGTGCTCATGAACTCCAATTTGAACTCCTAATGAGGACTTTGATATCTCCAGTTTCTTCTCCAATCTTAATTGCTGATTTTTCCACAGATTCACCACACCAATGCACTTCAATCATCTCCAATGTGTATATGTTTGCAAAATCCTCTGGAATTTCTTCAAGGTCTTTGCAATTTTGTACAACGAGTCTTTCAAGCTTGGAGAAATCGCCACAAGAGGCATTCCATTGAGCAATGTTCAGACTGTCAAAGCTCAGGAACTTGAGATTCTGAAACTCTTTCTCCACGTCCCATATTTTCCCCTCAAATGCACCAGAAAGTAACTTGAGAACTTCCAGGTTTGGTAGTCTCCCAATTGTGGAGATATGACACCATGGAAGGCGAAAGTTCCATAAAGTCAATTTCTTTAGATTCAAAGGGAGGTTGAACTCGCCATTGTTAAGAGGGCTTCCATAGTAGAATATCCTGAGTGACTCCAAGTGAGTTAGACATTTCAATCTCGGAAACTGATTGCAGTTCGTGGAAGAATCTGGTGATTCATAGAATATGCAACTCAATTTGCGAAGGTTTGGAAGCCTCCTTATTATCCTTTCTGCATCCTCACCACAAGAAAGAGATGGGCAGGAAAAGTTGACCAAATTTTCTAATACACAGCTATCGCCAAGCTTTTCATCATCTGAGTCAAAAGCAACATGGACACTCACATGAAGATGCCTTAAACTTATGATGCGCCAGATAGTATTTGGTAAGGTGATCTTACCGCTTAATCCCTTCACAATAAGAGTTTTCAGCTTCCTGAGGTTGGCTATCGATTGTGGAATGGATTTCAAAAAGCCTCCAACTGCTAAATATCTCAATTGGACCAGAATTCCAATTTCCAGGGGAAATGAAATACCCAAATTGAAGCATTCAAAATCCAAGACTCTAAGCAATTTGAAGTTGTGCCAAATGAATGAAATGTCATAAGTGCGTTTGGGTTCTGAATCAGTAGATGCAGAGAACACCAGAGAACGGGTGGCCAAGCCAGAAGGTTTTGATTCAACAAAGTGGTTTCGCTTCAAAGATAAAGCCAACCGATAGGAAGCAAACGATGTAGGAGATGAATGACGGTAAAAATCAAATTCGAAACCATAATCTGTACTAGGAAAAGAAGCATATGGATTATCAGACCTGGTTACCAGCTGAAAGAAGTTCTCATTCTTGGTTTTAGATTTACAGAAATCAAGAACAAGATCATGGAGGCGACATGCTCTAACTTTGCCATTGGATCTTCTTCTGCAGATTATCACCAAGCTTCTGTCAATTAGATCCATCAAGAAAGCCTCGGCCACATCTTCAAAGCCCTTATTAGTTTCTGGTATGAAACCTTCTGCGATCCAAAGCCGTATCAACTTGCTGACAAGAATATCTCTGTCTTCATTAAGAACTCCCAAATATAGAAAGCATGATTTAAGATACTCCGGCAAATGTTTGTAGCTGAGATCTAAGACTTCTTTGCACTGTGCTTCGGGATTATCAATTATTTGTGAGCTCAAGTTATCTGCGATTGTTTTCCACGAATTTTGGCTTTTTTCTGTCATTTTCAGTATACCAGCAACCGCAACAACAGCAAGAGGCAATCCTTGACAGTGGTAAGCAATGTCCTTTCCGACTCGCAGCAGCTCATTGGGGCAACATTCTTCCTTGAATACCTTCTTTTCTAACAGCTGCCAACTTTCCTCCTGAGAAAAAAGGCTAAGAGAAAGAGGAGGACTGTCTGGTTTAATTTCCGAGGCCACTCTGTGGAGGCGACTGGTGAACAGAATTCGACTTCCATTTGCATCATCTGGGAATGGGCTTTTCAAGTCATTCCAAGCTCCAATACCCCATACGTCATCCATAACTACGAGATACTTGTTTTTCAGTAACAACTTTCGCAATTTATCTTGGAGATCTTCATCCCTCATTTGGCGAATCTCTTCTGTAAGCACATGAATCCCTGTTAGAATTTCGAGCAACAATCTCCTTTTATCATATTCTTGGGAAACAGAGCACCATGCACGAAGATGGAAGTGACGCGTGAGTTTAAGACTGCTGTACACCTTCCTCGCCAACGTTGTCTTGCCTAAACCAGGCATTCCAGCAATAAAAACAATATCCAGCTTTGAGGATCCTCTAGTCAACTGGTTGAGAATTTCATTTTCTCTGTTACTGAGATCCACCACAATTTCGTCAATTGCTGGTGTATTTTTGGTTGATAACTTGTCAACTGAAACCTGGGTGACATTCTTGGAATCTTGGACTTCCGTATCAGGGGTTGTCAAATGAATTCCTCTAGCCTTCTCGCTAAGAAATCTTAACTCATCCAGCACATTGTCCAACCAGAAGAAATGCTGCCATTGAGCATCAACCTCAATTGAATCAATTATGTACTCCGCCTTATATGCCAAATCAGTGAATCGGTCAACGAGATTTTCTATCTTTGGATGCTCCTCAATGTCCAACTGTGAAACATTCTGGAGGAGTATTTGAATCTCTTCCGTGTGGAGCTTCGCCAATGCTGTTGATGCAGAATTATATTTTAGCAGCTCCCTGAGGTTCCTCCCGAGAAAATCAAGGAACTTCAGTTTGGAAGTTTTTGGGAAATTAAACTCCGGAAATTTAGGAATAAGATCCATGAGCTTTGCCTTGATCAAATGTGTCTCCTTATCTAACAGCTCAGAAAATGAAAGGTTGGTCATTTCATCTTGTGTGTTGAGGAAATAGTAAGAGAAATATGTCAGCCTCTGAAAAGATTCTCCAATTGCTCCTAATACGTCCTCTCTGTCCTTAATTCTTTCATCTGAGAGAATTAGTGCGATACACTCGAGCTTCTGAACGAAAAGTTTAGTTTGATCTTTCTCATGAGCCATAAGCCTTTTATCATTCCTGCTCTTTAGAAGTAATAGCTCCTTCAGAAAAGACCCTCCCTTGAAAATCACAATCTTCAAACGAAGTAGCAGAAGCGAGTTTTTCACCACAGATGCTGTGATTCCCTTCTGCCTAGATGACTCATGAAGAGATTTTTCCTCCTTGAATGTTGATTCAATCAGTGCCAACAACTTTTTCCTATCTAATCTTGTTTCTGGGGGCAACTTCTCAGAATATCTGCGCAGTCTACTGGGGATTTGTCTACAGTGGTCCATGATATCTTTAAAATCGGGAAACATGATGGAGGAAAGGGAAGAAGCGTTTGTATTGCTTTTCATGCTATGGATTTGCGCCACGAGGAAAAGCTCTGCCTCGAGAAGACAAATCTTCGTAAGTAACTCAGAAAACCGAGGTGAGTTGGCTAGTTCATGCCCCTTTCGACCAGTTGACTCGAATAGAGATGTGATCTCTACTAGCACAGCCTGAGTTTCTGGAATGAAACTTTGAGCTGTGTCCTCATCATCTAGTACAGAAGTGGTGTAGAGAAAAAGTTTTAATAGGAAAAACACCTCATCTCGAAAATATCCATCTTTACCAGAGAAGACACACAAGCAAAAGCTCCCCAGCAAATCCTTAATCGCAACCACCTCAGCACAGCAGAGAGCCATAAGGAAGTTGAGATGGAAACCCATGAACTTGGGATTGCTTGGATGAATTTCACTGTGCAAATCCACTAGGAACTCAATCAGCCCTCTTCTCATCACTTGGATTCGGCCTGTCTTGTAATTTAACCAGTAATCACGACACCGGTTTGCGATTCGTAGGGCCACGGACAAAACATGGCCAACGCAAGCATCAAAACTAGGCAGTCCACGAGAGCCAACGCAAGGATCAAAACTCTGCAGTCCCTGTGGATTCCTAGCACGGTGACGATGAAGAATATGTTGTACCATTGAAACAAGGTACCATCGGGTCCAATATATACTACCATACAACGAACTGAAATGGTCCCATACAAGATACACTGCCATATTCTCGACTGCGGACATAGTTGATAGTACATATGCAAATAAATCATTGCAAAAGGAGACATCAAGAGCTTTCGCCTTCATCAATCCGAATGAGCTGGTGCTGCTGATCCCTCGTGACCACATCAAGTACAAATGGTCGAGAGCTTCTTCAACTTCAACAATCAAGAGCTTGGTTTTTGTTGCACAATCAAGGGCCAGTTCGTTTAGGAATTCTTCATCTTTTACCTGGTCATCATTCACCATCATTTCTTCATGGAAATGAATAAGTTTCTGGGCAATCTCCTCAGCTGTAGCTTCGATCTTGGGGTAGAAGGCCAAATTCTTCTCATCTGTGGCAGCATGACCACTCCCCTTATGAGTGGATTTCCAAATTTTTCCCAAAAATCTCCAATCATCTTTGAGTTTTGACAGGATCTCCGAGGGATATTTTATGCCTCTCAGTGCAGAATCAAGGCGATCCAAGCTTGAAGAACCAGCACCAGCGGCAGAAGCCATCATGTCCAAAATTTTCTACTACATATAGATCAATCTCTCTGATCGATTAACTTTTTTGTATTTCTATGCTAAAATTTTGTCCCTACTTGCATATATTCTCTATTCAGCCCAAAACAACAGAAACAAATTGAATTTCTGGATTTGAGATGGATCTCAAGAATTGGGCCTAAGAATTCATCTTCCAGAAACAAGTTTGGAAATTTGATGTGTTCAGCTTGTGAGCAAGTTGGCATACAGTATACTGATGAAAATATCTACTCTGTCTTATATTTTATCACACTTAAATTGAAATGAATTGCGTACTGATGAGTGGGACCATGAATGTCTACTTCAGCACAATCTGGACAAACTTGAAGCTGAAATAATTGAAAACATTGTACTGGAAAAGAAAAGCTAAATGATTGTTTCCAAGCTATAGAGGAAAGATAAAGCGATAACTGATTGGGGAAAGCTGTACAAGAGAATTAGAATTTAAATCTGGGGTGGGCTTTAAATGAAATCCAACATAAAAGTAATTTAATGAATTCCATAAAAGTTAAACGTAAATTACATATAAAACATAAAAATTAGACAATAGTCATCACAAAAAAATTGTGGAGAGTCATATAAATCCATTGAAGAGAATGATTCGGCTTATTGAGAAAGCCATCTCCATTACTGCAAGCCATATTCATTCGGCTAAGAGCCAGTCAAAAGCACAATCAAATGACTCTAAAAGAGGGGGAACATAGACCACACCATAACGGCTTTTTGACTTGAAAACAGAGAGAGAGGGAGGGCCCAAATGAAAATGAAAGTGTTATTTGATCGACATTTCTCTTTGTCGTGTTTGGTTTATTTTCAAATGAAAATGTTAGAATTTGCATCGTTTTAGGAATTAAGCTCAATTGAATAGGCTAGCAAAAGGGGAGGCTGCGAAGGCAAGGGGAACAGCAGGGGAAGATTGGTTTGGAGGGAGGGGTAGGGGCTGTGGTTGATTTAATGTGGATTGATGGTGTAAGGGGGAAGGGAGGCGAGGACAGTGAGGGGATAAGGGGAATAAATGAGAAGGAAGGAGAAATGGTAGCAAAGGTGGTGGGGGCAGGAGGAAAGGGGAGTAAACAGAGGGGAAGACCAAAAGGAAGCCATGCAGCTGGTAAGAGTTGGAAAAGGTTGGTGTTGGAGGTGAGTAGAAGGAAGCCTCTGACTGAGACAAACAGTGGGGTTAAGGATTTTGAGAAAGGGAAAAGGAAGGTAGAGGTGCTGAGGGGGAGGGAGGAAGTGGATCAAGTAGAGAAAGAAAACAGGAAACGAGTTAGGAGTGAATATGGAGCTGGTGATTGGATGGAAGTTGCTGAGGGATTGGAGTCCTCCCTTAATGGGACTCCAGACCTTAAATGAAGGCTGTGGTGTGGAACTGTCGAGGTGTGGAGAGCCCCTTGACAGTTCCCCAGTTGAGGGAGGTCGTGAGACTCCACTCTCCTTCTTTAGTTTTCTTATCAGAAACAAAAAAGAAAAAAAGTTTTTTGAACAGTGTGATGCAATGGATAAAGTTTGACAGGGTCTTTGTGGTGGATCCAGTTGGTAGGGCAGGGGGACTGGCAGTAATTTGGAAGCAAGACTTGAGGGTGAAAAAGGTCTTGTTCACTAGTTTCACTATAGAGTTACTGATAGAGGACACAGATTTTGGGTTTGATTGGTGGTATGTGTGTGCATATGCTAGCTCAGATAGAGGTATCAGGAGAGAGCAGTGGAATGTTATTCATAGAAGAAGTGTTATTTGGGGGGAGCACTGGGCAATCATGGGGGACCTGAACGATATCACTTCTAATGGGGAGAAATGGGGGGGAATTTTGAGAGCTGAGGGCAGTTTCCAGGATTTCAATTCTTTCATTAATCATAATGAGCTGGTGGATATTGGTTATGAGGGGGTACCTTGGACATGGTGCAACAACTGGGGGAATGAAGGAGAGGTAAAAGAAAGGTTAGACAGAATATTGGGGACTAAGGAATGGGTTAGAAGGTTGGATAAGGCAAAATGCTTGCACGTGGAGACTGAGGCTTCAGATCACTGTATGTTGGTGTTGGACACACATGCAGGGGGGAAGAAGTGGAGGAAAAGATTTATGTTTGATAGAAGGTGGCTTCTGAATAAAGATATAAAGGAGGTGGTGGGGAAAGCTTGGGGGGAGCACCAGGAAGGATCTAGACTTTTCAAGGTGCAGTGTAAAATTAAAAAAGTGAGAATGGACCTTCTGAGTTGGAGTAGGAGTAGTTTCAGTAATGCAAAGAAATTGATAGAGCAGGTTAAAAAGGATATTAAGGAGGTTAAGTTGAACAGGCCTTGTGGTTTTAGGATCAAACTATTGGGTTTAAAGAGGAAATTGGCTTCTGCCTATAAAAAGGAAGAGTTATTTTGGAGTCAGAAGGCAAGGTTGAAATGGTTAAAAGAGGGGGACAAAAACACAGGTTTTTTTCATGCTACTGTGGCTGGTAGGAGAAAAGCAAATAGGATTAGTATCCTGAAGAAAAGGAGTGGGGAGTGGTGTGGAAATGAGGAGGAAACTAGAGAGGAGATCTTGAGCTATTTTGAGCAAATTTTTACTGCGGATAAGCCTGAGGACTTTGCAGCAGTGTTGCAAGGTATCCCACAGACTATCTCAGCTGAGATGAACAGGAAGCTTACCAGGGCAGTCTCAGAGCAGGAGATATACCAGGCTGTATTTTCAATGCACCCAAACAAGTCTCCAGGACCAGACGGTATGTCTCCTTGCTTCTTTCAAAAGTTTTGGCAAATTGTCAAAATTGATGTGGTTCAGGCTGTCCAAAGTTTCTTTCAGTCAGGTTTCATCTTGAAATCTATTAATGAGACTCTGATCAGTCTGATTCCTAAGGTTGTTTCCCCTACTTCTGTCACAGAATACAGACATATTAGTTTGTGTAATGTTTCTTACAAAATCATTGCTAAAGTGCTTACAAACAGATTTAAAAGTGTTCTGAATCACTGCATTGGTGAGTCTCAGTCTGCTTTTGTTCCAGGTAGACAGATTCTGGACAATGTTTTGGTTGCTCATGAAAGTGTGCATTTTTTAAAAAATAAAAGGGTTGGGAAGGAGGGGTTCATGGCTGTCAAGCTAGATATGTCAAAGGCTTATGATAGGGTGGAATGGGGTTTTTTAGCTAAACTTATGGAAAAGATGGGGTTCTGTTTTAGGTGGATCAATTGGATCATGGAGTGCGTTACAAGTGTGAGCTATTCTGTAAACATTAATGGGGAAAAAACTGGGTACTTTAGACCTTCAAGGGGCCTTCGACAGGGGGACCCCTTGTCCCCTTATCTTTTTCTGATTTGTGCTGAAGGATTCTCATCTTTGATCAAACAAGCTAACAGTAATGGAAATCTGACAGGCATGAGAATTGCTAGAGGAGCTCCTGGTCTGTCTCATTTATTTTTTGCAGATGATTCTCTGATATTCTGTAAAGCAAATAGGGGGGAGGCGGGTCATCTAAGGAGAATTTTGGAAGTATACAGGAAGGCTTCTGGTCAGTTGATCAACATGGAGAAGTCTTCAGTGTTTTTCAGCAGAAATGTGGGTCGAAGACAGCAGGTAGAGGTGCTGAGTGAATTGAGGGGAATGCAGCAGGTCTCACAAAGCAGGTATCTGGGGTTACCATTGGTGATTGGTAGATCAAAGAGGCAAGTTTTTGATTTCATAAGGCAGAAAACAATAACCAGGTTGAAAGGGTGGAAGGAGAAAATGTTGAGTCCTGCTGGGAAGGAGGTTTTATTGAAAGCAGTCATCATGGCCCTGCCTACTTATGTTATGTCCTCTTGTCTCCTCCCAAAAGTGCTGTGCAAGGAGATTTGTTCTGAAATGGCAAAGTACTGGTGGGGGCAAAAGGAAAAGGAGAGTAAGGTGCACTGGTTGAGCTGGAGTAGAATGTCTGAAGTAAAGGCAGTAGGGGGGCTGGGGTTTAGGGAGCTTCATGAGTTTAATTTAGCTTTGCTTGCAAAGCAGCTATGGAGAATTTTGACGAATCCCAACTTACTGGTGTCTAAAATTCTGAAGGCCAGGCACTTTAAGGGGGTATCAATTTGGAGGACACAGAGTCATGATGCAGACTCATGGTGTTGGAAGAGTTTGTTGCGGGCAAAGGATATATTAGAGGAAGGATTGAGAAAGCAGGTAGGGGATGGTAAAGCTATAGATATTTGGGAGGATCGGTGGATCCCAGATTCTGAGGTTGGAAAAGTACAAACAAGGAGGAGGGAAGGGTGTGAGTTACAGTTTGTAAGTGATCTTATTAAAGGGGGAACATGGGATAGGGAGGTGATTGCTCAGGTGTTTGATAAGGAAGAAGGAAGGAAGATCTTGAACATTCCTCTTAGTGAGGAACTTAGGAAGGACAGGTTTTTTTGGGCTTTTTCGAACACTGGGATGTATACGGTCAAGTCAGGATATAGGTTGGCAAAGAGGAAGAAAAGGATGTATGATGCTGAAAGGACAGAGGAAGGCACGAGTATCAGAAGGTTAGGAGCAACTCAGAACTGGAACTTCCTTTGGGGTTTGAAGGTGAAGCATAAATTGAAGCATTTTATTTGGAAATGCTTGCATGGGATACTGCCTGTAAATGCAGTACTAAAGGAAAGATGCTCAAAAGGGGATCAAGTGTGCAAAGGATGTGGGGAAGGTCCAGAAACTATTGAACATATGCTCTTCTTCTGCTGCAGTGCTAAACTCATATGGAAAGCTGCACCTCTGAGTTGGGGGTTTGCAGGTTTTTAGGAATAAGTTTTGGCATTGGTGGGATGCATTGAAGGAGGTGGCAGCCAAGGAAAAGGGTGATGAGCGTATCAGTTTAACAGTAAATCTGCTTTGGCAAATTTGGAAATCTAGAAATGAAAAACAGTTCCAGGATCATGGGAGGGACCCTCTGGTTGCAGTTCAAAAGGCTGTGATGGAATGGCAAGAATATCAAGAGGCTCAGGAAATGGAAGTGGAATGGGGGGATAGTGGTATGAAGGAGGGAAGGGAAGTACATGGCTGGGAGAGGCCACAGGAAGGCTGGATAAAGTTGAACTCAGATGCTGCTCTGAATAGCAAGGAAGGTAGAGCAGGTTGGGGAATGGTCGCAAGGGATTGGCAGGGGATGATGTTGGGGGCGTGGGCGGTGCCATCTTCAACTTGTTCGAATCCTAAGCAGGAGGAATCAATGGCTCTTAGAATGGCTTTGAGAATGGCACAGCTAAAAGGATGGAAAAAGGTGGTGTGTGAGGTAGATTGCTTACAAGTTGTGGATGAGCTGAATAGGGAGGATAATGATAGGATAGGATCTGTGGTGATAGAAGATATAAGGGTTTTGAAGAAAAATTTTGATGAATGTTGTTTTACTTTCACTCGGAGAGTAAACAACTTTGTTAGTCATACGCTAGCCAAATTGGCAATTTGCTTGGAGGATTTAGCTGAATGGAAGGATAACTTCCCAGCATGGCTGCATGAACTTGCGCAGTCTGATTGTAGGGGCAGTTGTCCCAGTTTCTTGTAATACGTTTGATGTTATGAATAAAACGTTGCCGTTTTGGACAAAAAAAAAAAAAGAATAGGCTAGCAAAAATGTTGGCCGAAAAAATGAGTGTTCAAAGTAAATTTTGGCTTGAAGGATAACTTTCCTCATCTTTGTACAACAATGATTAGTACAGCTAAATATTCTTAGGTCTCCCAACAATCCTTTTGTCTTCTATGACACTAGAATTTCTCCATTCGCACACACCATTAACATTTCCAATCCTATTAGGGTATGTTTGGATTGAAAAATCTGACGAATGATTTAAAATCTACTCAAATTGCTTTAGTTATTTGAATTATTTAAAAGGTATTTGGGTTTGTAATTCACTAATTATCTAAATGTATTTCAGATACTAGAATAATTGATGATTTACGAGTCCAAGTACCTTTTAGGTAATCTAAATAACTAGCGAAATTTGAGAGAATCTCAAGTCCTTTATTAAATTCCTCAATCAAAACGCAGTCATAGAATCTCAAAACCTTGCCATCAAAATCCAAAGATATCATAGTATATGTCATCGTAATCTTTTCTAGATGCTAATAGTGTTAAAATTCGAGCACTCCTAGACATGAAAATTGGTCGAGAAATCATTAGTTTACTAGATTAAATTTTGAGTTTCACAATAATTTTTGTTTAGAAAATCTTTTACCTCCTCTTTTTAGTTTTTATTTTTTTGACAAGGGGATACTCCAAATCTTATAAGAAAGAAGGGAAAAATGGGAAGACATGAAAGTCAAATCAGAAACCTCACGGTCCATTCTATTTAACCTCCCTACTAATTAAATTTGGTTTCAAAAAAAGATCTTTTATCTTTTTTTGCCCCGTTATTAAATAAGTTTTGGATTTTGTACCAAATTTGATAAGAATTTGGTGTCAGAGTGTGTTGGGCGAGATATTAGACCCAAAATTATCTTATTATGAGATCCATTCTAACCCAGCAAAATTGCCAAATAATTTTCTTTTCTTAATCCATACTAACCCCAACAAAATAACTGATTGCGGAAAGCTATACAAAAGACCCACCAAACCATTTAAGCCAAAAAAATGAAAAAAAAAATTTATTTGGTTTCGACTCTGATTACAACCACAAGTGATCTAAAATTACATGTTAGCTTTACCAACTAAATCAACTTATTTTAGCTTAAAAGTAAATTCTAAAATAGTGATTCATCTCTTAATTCACCAATAAGTCACTTCGCTGATATTCAATTTTGGTCTCTATATGAATTATCTTTTATACGTATACTGTTGGATTGTCACATTTACTAGGACATGTAAATTCCGTTTAATAAAATTTCGTGGAGCCAAAGTGAGAAGATTAGAAAAGGAAAAGCGAAGAAGGTACGAGAAAAAAAAATAGAATTAGAAAACAGAGAAACAAATTAAATAGAACAAAGCTCGAAAAAAAATGCAAAATGCACTTATTGGCAATCTGCCCAGTAAAAGGTTGGAAGCGCCTCAAGTGAGTGTGGTAAAGGACAATTACGGTGCGTAAAGTGTAAATGACAAAAAAGAATTTTACTAGAAAATTTTGGCAAACCATCTTACACGATATGAAGGAATGTAAGGAATATAACCCACAGGAAAACAACATATAAATTTCACTCAATGAATTAATTAGGCAGCGAAGGATAAAGAATAAAAAATGATGAGCAATAGCCCTATTTATGACGAGGCAAAGCAACGAAACAGAGGCAAAGCTATATGAAGCTTCAGGAGGCAAACCAATATTTTATTTTATAAGTCTCTTGGCTCCTTTTTATACCACACAGAGTGCAGACTAACTCTGTGTATATATAGGGCACTAAGTCTCCATATTGCTCAAGGATTTCATCCGCACCATCTAATGAATCAGAGACCACATTGGAATTGGACAACCACCCTAGTTAGATTGGAACTCAACTAACCAAACATAGACTTGGGCTATACTAATTTCAACCAACTACGATTAAAAAACTAACAAATAATAATCTTGATTTAACTCCTACATTGCTTCCATTAAATCAAGATCTTCAAATTTCACCATGCCGAGCATCTTCTTCAATTTCATGAACATCTCCAATTTGAGCGGCTTTGTCAAAATATCTGCTACTTGATCTTCCCTTCTGCAATAATCAATGACAATTTCTTGCTCTTGAACTAACTCACGAATAAAATGATACTCGATGTCAATATACTTGCTGCGCCCATGAAAAACTGGATTTTTTGTCAACTAAATAGCAGACAAACTATCACAAAATATTTTGGTAGGACCGTCTTGCTTGTGTTGTAAAAATCCAACCATTCTCCGCAACCAAAGTGCTTGAGTAGCACTACTTGTGGCCGTCATGTACTCCGCTTCTGCTGTGGACAAAGCAACCACCTGTTGTTTCTTTGAGGCCCAAGAAAATACACCAGATTCCAAGTAAAATGCATAACCAGAAGTGCTTCTCCTTTGTATTGTGTCACCAGCCCAATCACTATCAGTGTATCCAACAAGGTTGTTGCCATGTGAAGATGAGTAAAATAGACCATCCGACTGCATACCTTGAACATATCTCAAAATTCTCTTAGCAGCTTGCAAGTGAGACTCGCATAGAGATTCCATGAATCTACTAATCAAACCAACTCCATAAGTGATGTCAGGTCTCGTAGAAGTTAAATACCTGAGACTTCCCACCAGTGACGGAGCCAGGAAATTTTTTTTGGGGGGGCCAAAATTTTTTCCTAATAAAATTATCTTAATATATTATGTTCAAAATAATTTTCTTCTATTTAAATATATCACATCTAAAAATATCAAATATTAAATTTAATTATAAAGGTACGTCTATTCATAAAAATGCGGTACAGTCATAACAAAAATTAACAAAAAAGATAACTTTTGATTAAATATCTTATAACATCACAAACCATCCAATTTGCACATTATGAGAAGATACTCTCCAATATGTCACCTATGCAATATATATATATATATATATATATATAACCATGTAATATAAATGTAACTATTTTCAATTGAAAAAAGATAAAAGTTATGTTAACATACTTCGAAATTTCAACATCTTTTCTTAAAAGTAAATTGAGCTCTACGCTCTTTCATAGAACTAAATTCATCTATGATTGAATCACTGCTAAATTTTTCAGCAACTTTCTTTTCTATATACACAGTTAGATAATCATTCAAGAAATTATCTTCCATCTTGTTTTGGAGTTTTGTCTTGATTATTTTCATAATTGAAAATGCCCACTCTGTAATTGCAGTTGATACAAGAAGAGTAAGAACAAGTCTAATCAATCTATCAATAAGAGGATATATCACTGATTTTCTTGTCTTCACCAAGCCTTGACATAACTCATGAATACCAGATAATTCTTGCAATTCAGGATGATTTGGAATGTCGAGTTCAAAATGTTGAAATTCTATTCTTAGACATACTAGTTCTTGCTCCATAAAATCATTCGGATAGAACTTCTCTGCAACTTTACAAATATCATCAATCTTGAACAGCATAAATCCATTTCTAGGATCTAAAGCAGTGCTCAAAACAAGCAATTCCACGGTATGATCATTAAACCTACTATGTAACTCTCGCAATTGATAATCAATTGTTGCAAGAAATATATCCATTCGATAATAATGCTCCACACTAATCTCATCATGATGACTTCGAGATCTACCACGTCTTGCAATATATTAAGCATTCATACATAGGATATCAATTTGATGTTGCTCAAAAAATAACTTAACTTTCACCAAGAAATCATCCCATCCCGAATCTCGAAAATTCTTCAGTAGCTTTGTTGTGCTTGAGACAAGATATATTGCATTCAAAATATCTTGAGATTTACGTTGCAATGCTATACAAAAAAGATGAGTAATTTCCACAATGTCTTTCATAAGATGCAAAGTGAAAACAAACTTAAAAGATAACAACTTATTCAAAACAAAATTTGCATCTCCACGTTGAGAGTATGAACCTCCATCTACTGCAATGTCACTTAAAACCACACAAGTAGCATTGAACATTTTCAGTAAACTAGAAATAGAATCCAAATGAGAACCCCAATGAGTATCTCCAACTCGTTTTAAAGTGCCAATTTGATTAAGTCCCCTTCCAGTTTCAAGTTCACCATTAGCAATCTTAGTAGCAACTTCAATTGCTTGAGCCTCCTTTAATTCATCATTACGTTTGCTAGATGTAGTAACAATGTTGATAATGAAAACTAAATTGGAGAAGAATTGGTGAACAGAAGCTACTTCTCTAGAAACTGCAACTAAAGCAAATTGAAACCTATGAGCCAAACAATGAATGTAATAGGCATATGGACATTCATGGCAAATTAAAGTTTGCAAGCCATTCCATTCAAAGATGACTAATTCATATATAGATATATATATATATATATCAACTCTCATAATATAAACTAAAATTGTAAAAATTTAGGGGGGGCCAATTTTATTTTACACACATATTTACATATTATGAATTAAAATTCTCAAAACTTAGGGGGGGCCATGGCCCCCCTCTGCCCCCCCTTGGCTCCATCATTGCTTCCCACCAACCTTCTAAAGTAAGTAGCATCAACAAAATCACCAGTACCATCTTTGGTTAATTTCAATTTTCTTCAACCGGGGTCATCATTGGTTTAGTCACATCCATCTTAAACTTCTTCAGAATATCACTTGCATACTTCCTTTGTGAGATAAAAATTTCATCATCCAACTGATGAACCTCAATACCAAGAAAATAAGACATCAATCCCAAACCTGTCATCTCAAATTGACTAATCATGGCCTCCCTGAATTCAAAAATTAATTTGGGACTGTTGCCTGTAAATATCAAGTCATCCACATACATGCATACAATAAGGACATCTCCTTCAGGGTTGAATTTGATATACAGAGTATGCTCATATGGACATCTCAGAAAACCATGCTCAATAAAATAAGTATCAATGCGAGTATACCAAGCTCTAGGAGCTTGTTTCAACCC